TCGCAGGATTTGTAAGAAGTATTAGTAAAACGACACATGCGGTGGCATTTAAATCGACTTCTCGTGGTTTTCAAAAATCATACAATTACAGACCGTCTAAGATCGAAGAAAGATTATTATCACCCTGAGTACTCTATAAATAATACCTAGAAAACTGGTATTTTGACAACGGGCAATTAGAACTAGCTCAGTTATCGTGGTTATTAGACCATGCTCTGAGTACTTTAATGAGATCAAAGACAGAATAAGGAATGTGCTTATAAAAGTGGTGTGATCTTTCTATACCTTAAGCATCCGAACTACATCGCCACGTCTTTCAGCTGTTTTCGGCTTTGCTGGTCGCCATTAACTTCCAGTATGAAGTGCAAAAGTAACAAAATTTGTGACAAGGTACAGGCATTTCTCGATTTATGTCCGATCTGCGGACCCAATTCAGGCCTCCTTATGGTCGCACATCAGCCTCGTTGTTCCAATGTCGGCTTTCGTCTTTCTTTTTAATGGGCAGATATGTTAGCGAGTTAATTGGTGAGATAGGCCTGGTACATTAACTATACCCTCTGTCCAACGCCATTGCACCATATAAAGCAACATGTTTGCTCTAAATTTACGGCAGTTTCGAGGGCCGCTTTGAACTTCTAGCAAATCGTAGATCTTCTTCCTAATAAAGACATGAAATTTGTATGCCTTTTAAAGTAAAACGTGTTATATGAGATCAGTTAAAAAAAACATGTCGTATACTAATGAAGGAGAGCTCACCGATTACGTTAGGAGATGCAATCGACTCGCATAGTGCCTTGCTAGCGACCGCACAACGGCTAGCGGTATAGGTAGAACAACACTGCCGGCAAAGACAAGGTGGACTGTGACGGCCATTTCTGGCTTATCAGCTATCCTCAGTCGGCCATACCTAACCCCATGTTTTACAACCCTGAGGCCCGATCACGCGTCCTGTTCGTTAGAAGTTCAAAGTTCCAATCATTGGGGTACAGTCTCGTCATCCTTTCGGTTTCGACTGGGTATATACAATAGTGGAGGTTCGAGGTCGAGCCCCATGATACGAAGCAGGATAAGTGTGTCCTTTTAACGCGAACGATGAGAGCCCCTGCACCAATGTATGTATCCGATCACAATTGAAAGGACAACGGGCCCATGACTCAGCGGTTGGGACTCTGGACTTCTAACCAACAGGGCGCGAGATCGGGCCTCAGGGGTTACAAAACCCAGGATTGGACATGGCTGATGAATGACGGTTACACGCCTGGAAATGGTTATTCCAGTCACCCTTGTGTTTGACGGTAATTTTATTCCCTCTACGAAATGTTGTTTCCGGATTTACCAAAAGTAAAATGACCGGATTTCTCCTCATTCTTCCTCACTCTACTTTTCTGCTCCCCGCAATCTAGAGAAACAAACTTTTGCGCAAAGTTAACTGTCGGATAAAAAACTGTTTAATCATGAATGCAAATAAAATCGGTCCGGTCGGCTCTTATCTCGTTACAAAGTTTATTTCAGAAATCTGCGTCCCACTCCACCGATAACTTTTTTTCATTCTTGGAGTAATTACTAGTAACCATGGCTTAATCCGCTTCAGCAGGTATTAGAATCCCGTGACTTTATTTCAAAACCTTAGTTTACTGGAGGAATTAAAGTTTTTATGTTGAGTTTACAGGAAATCTAAAATTTAAAAAATCATCACAGAAAATAACCTCCTGACCTCCATATCCTTGATAATATTGTACTTCCTTTGAACTTCGGTATATTCATTTTTATAAAAACAAGCAAGCAACACAGCAAACTACAAATAACCGTGTTATGGTAGATCCTGATGCCCGACATTTGAAAAAGAACCAGTGATTTTGCATGAGTTCACTAGATCTCATTTGAATTTGAAAAAATCTAAATTATGTACGGTCGGCAAAAAAGAAGTACAGTTTTTGATTGAAAACTCACAAAAAGTGATGCATACATCAGAAACCGAAAGCACTATACTGAACGCAAGACGAGCGATCAGTCATTCAGCGTCCTTCAGTAAAAAAAAATCACGGCAGTGCAGGTGGTATTGTCTGATGGCGTCATGAAGTGTAAGCAAGGTATGCACTATTTTTGGTATCCTTGATTGCGTTCGAGTGGAGACGCTGACCATAGAGGTCCGCTCTTAAATCTGACATGAAGAATGGATGTGGAAACATTTATCTATAAAATAAAATTTTGACGAAAGGTTTCCCCTTAGTTGATTGCATGGGTCGTATTTGCGAAACGCTAAGACGATGACTCCTAGTCGGTGGAAAAAACGCAATTCCCTAGCAGCGCTTGTATTTGCATGACCCAAAATGTTCAAAATTAACAAGATGCTTAAAAAAGCATTCGAGTAGTTCACAAGTAGAATTTAACCTGTTTTCTTTCTCCCCTCTAAGAGATCATTTGTTGCCATCCAAACTTGCTTCTATATTCACTCTTGTTCTCGTAAGCAGAGCATAAAATGTTCCCCATAAAGAAAGATAAGGTACGGGCGAGGTTTGATTTTGCGGCCGCACCTCAGTGATACTGAAGCTTACTAAAGCAATTTTAGTTAGCGTACCTAACTTAACCCCTCGCTTGAGTAGGAAGAGAAAAACAGTAAAAGCAGGACTCATAACACGCTTAAAAGGCAGGTGAAGGTAATGTGTACATACTCCCCCCCGACACTGCCGGTTGCCGGATTAAGAGGATATGGGGGTGTCGAATCACAACTGGAAGGCCACTGAGGACACCGCCTGGTAACTCGCAGTGCATGCCCACTGTAGTGGAACCGACGGAGTTTCACACCGTCCGAACAATTACATTAGCAAGGCTACTTGGCCACTCGCTGGTTTAGGATAATGCAAGGAGCGCAGGCAGAGCTCGAAACACCCCGAGGGAAGCGCATGTGAACTGCTAACTAAAGTAACCGTGGCTGGCGTTTAAACAGTCTTTTCACCTTGGCGTATTCACTCGCTGGATTAAAATGGTAAGGAAGATGCAAATGTGTGATATAAATCAGGTGGTACCGACAAAGACAAGGGAGACCGGAATGGCCATTTCTGGCTTATGAGCCGTCATCAATCAGTCATACCCAACCCCAAGTGTGGCTCACTTGAGATTCGAACCCGGGATGTTTGGTCATGGAGTTTGACGCTCTATCATTGAGCCATGGGCCCGTTGTCCTGTCGGTTGTGATCGGGAATATCAATTATGACAGATGGGCGCTTACCGATCAGGTTACGGAACATGCTCGTTCCGTTGTGCCTTGGGGCTCATACTAGAACCTTCGCAGGCAGTCGCACGGCGACTAGTAAAATGATGTAAATCAGGTGGTACCGACAAAGGCAAAGGATTGGGTATGGCTGGCTGATGACGGCTAATAGGCCAGAAATGGCCATTCCGGTCTCCCTTGCCCTTGTCGGTACCACCTGATTTACATCATTCTACTAGTCGCTGTGCGACTGCCTGCGAGGGTTCTAATATGAGCCCCAAGGCACAACAGAACGAGCATGTTCTGCAACCTGATCGATGAGCGCCCATCTGTCATATGTGATATATATAAATTCGGCGTATTCGCATCTGCAAAAATTTTTTAGAGACTTAACCATATGATATTACTCAAGTGGGGCTTTAGGACCAAACCTCGCCAAATTGCTGTAATGGAAGTGCGTCTGTCGACCAGTTTACGAGACATGTTCAACCCGTCGAGCTCTGGGATTAAAATTGGAGCCCTCTTAGGCAGCCGTGGAGCACTGATGCAGACATTTGAGACCGAGAAAGCTATTTCTGGCATATTAGTCGTCATCATTAGTCTATTACAGAACCATTGATTCCTGACCACAGCTGATACGATGGCTGGACCCTGGCTCAGTAGTGGGGTGTTGAACATAATAACGCTCTATAAACAAAGAGCGTTCTGAAAACCTCTGATTGTCAAAAGAAGCGACAAGACGAGTCCCAGGAAGCAGTCTTGAAGAAGGAGACACGATAGCTGGGATAAGAGCTTTATTAGTCCGACGCCTCGGATTTATGCTCGAATCCATCATCAGAGACAAAAGCAGATACGGGTGCTTCATGCATAAGGGGCCGCAGTATTCATAGGATGCAATCGCCATGTTACCGCATGCCCTATGAATTTTCACGCCTCCCCCCTTCACCAGGGATCGTTGTACGTGGAGATGACTGTTTGTATTGGGAATGTATTTAGGCGCGATGCACTCCGGTCGACACGGCGATAGGAAACCTTCGATCTTCGGAGGCATCCACGTATTCGCAGAGCCGGTTTCTGCACAGGTGTCTCTACAATAATGTGCTGCCGAAATGTGTTTTATACAAGCCCCCGGTTAACACGGATTTAGCGAGACGAGCAGTATTTGAGCATGGCAGAAGGATGATCCGAGTGCTCCTACAAGATTGTCAGACGAGACTTCGCAAGTACCGTCAAAGGATTGACCAAGAAATGAGCAGATGCTCTGAGCTCATGGGCGAGATCGGTACAAATCTGCTCCTGCAGAGGATAGCCGAACAAGCCCACGAACAGAGAGTGATACGCCACACAGCGCTGGAGAACAAATTCTGAAGGCTGCCTAATCCAACGTCGCCCAGAAACGACAAACTGGTGCACAACCTGTCGTCAAAGGAGCTGGCGAATGATAATATGCAGGTTTTACGGCACGAAGCTTCATTCAACAGGCTGACGCCAAACCTGTTAACATGGCTGCAGCAGTGGAATCAATCCTTAGTCAGACGAAGGCAACGGAGGAGACCAAGGGCCTCATCTGACACCAAGTGTCGTTTCTCCTAATGCCCACAGACCGCGGGAAGTGCTTCCCAAGGTCAAACGTAATACGTTTAGAGAACGCAAGGCCGACAAAAACCTGGTCATCGTGCCAGCAGACAAGGCGCGCTCCACGGTAGTACAGGACAGGCCAGACTACCTTCAAAAAGCCAAACGTTTAGCGGATGACCGACAATACTATGTTCCATGTACAATGAGCCCTATGAAAGCGTTAACACGCGAGATTAACGCGACACTGTTTGCAATGGAGAACTCAGGTGCAATATCGCCAATTGACCGACGTATGGCAAGAACACAAAAAAGGGTCCTAGCCCGATTCTACGGTCTCCCAAAAGTACATAAAGAGGACACTCCTCTCCGGCCTATCTTATCACTAAAGGTCTCTCCAACATACGGACTGGCAAAGTGGCTGTTCCGACGTCTCAAATTTCTGACCTCCGATTCAAACACCACAGTCAGCTCGTCAACGCAATTCTTGGAGAAACTTAAAGGAGTAAGTCCCCTGCCAAGGGATGTCATAGTTTACTTTGATGTCACGTCCCTTCTTACTTCTATTCCCCAGGACCTGCCGATCGATACGATTGAGCTGCTTCTACAAAGCAAATACGATGAAACGGAAAATCGTCTTGGACACGCCCAAGTACTTCAGCTCCTGAAGTTCTGTCACAGGACGTACTTCATTTTCGACGGGACAAACTACGAACAGGTGAAGGACACGCCAATAGAGACTCATCGCCGAGGCGGTCCTGCAACGTTGGATTCGCCGGTTTTCCGACACCACATACCGAAGTGCTGGGCTCGGTATGTGGATTATACTTTCGTCGTCATCGAACGGGATCAGGTGCTGACCTTCAAAGAACATCTCAATGCCGTCTTCCCGGACTTTCAGTTTACAATGGAGGAGGAAGAGAACAACCAGCTGGCCTCACTGGATGTCCAAGTAGGCCGAAAAGATTGTGATGGCCTGAAAACCAAAGTGTTCAGGAAAGTGGGAAATACGATGCAAGTTCTGAACTCCAACAGCAACCGGCCAATTAGCCATAATCACAGTTGTGTAAGGACGCTCTACCGGCGTGTCGAAACGCACTGAAGTGAACTGGAAGACAAGATTACCGAACTACAATACCTCCGACGGATCTTCAAAGCCAATGGCTACCCGCGCAACTTCGTCGACCGGTGCATACGCAAAAGGGACGAAAGGCCTAACCGCACGGACACCAAGTCTTGGCGGGCACTTCCGTATGTCAAGAACGTTTCGGAAGCTGTCGGCCGCCTTCTCGCACCACTTGGGGTCGGAGTGGCACACAGACCGGAGGCAACCATTAGGCGTCGGATAATGAAACCAAAAGATCCGCTGCCACGGCAAGAAACGCTTGGAGTCGTTTATCGGATCTGGTGCAGCTGCAAAAAAAGCAACTACGTCGGAGATACCGGAAGACAGCTCCGAACACGAATGGCCTACACCCTGCAGCGGTGCGGATACATGACGCCAGTTGCGGTTTATTCGACGAGATCCGGCCACACATTCGAATTCGACGTGGACTAAATTCTCGCTAGAGGTGACAACCGCGTGAGCCGGGAGCTGCTTGAATAATTGTTTACTGGCCCGCAGTCCATTAACAAGTGCAACGACCTTCCACTTCCATACTTGGTGCTGAGACTTCGCCTTGGCGGGGTACTTAGTCACGCGGGGAGCGCACACGTGAACACTTGTCCCAACATAAGTGTCGGTGCGTCATATGGTCGAGCAATCATCACACCAATATCCAACGCACGTGATGAGATTGCAGCAATTAACCACGCAAATTTCAACCATCAGACAGTCATCATACCGCGTGCAACGATCCCTGACGAAGGGTGGGAGCCGTGAACATTCATGGGTATGCGGTAGCATGGCGACTACGTCCTATAAATACTGCAGTCCCTTGTGCATGAACCACACGTATCTGCTTCTGTCTCTGAGGATGGGTTCGAGCAGGAATCCTAAACTTCGGGCTAATAAAGCTCTTGTCCCAGCGACCGTGTCTCCTTCTTCAAAACGTCTGATTGTTACAAGACTGGCTGACAACTGCTAATGGTTACTTCAGTCTCCCATGTCTTTGTCGGCACTCAGCCTTCTGCGTAAAAGACATCTGTCCGACATTTGCCGGCATTTCTCCTCTGGACTTGAATATAAGTTGCAAGCAAGCTGTTGATTGATCATAGTTTTTGACATCTTGTTATCAATCTCGAAGTTATCTAGGGCCCCTTGGGATAGAAATTATCCTCACGACTCTGCCGACGGATTATGCAACAAAGTAATCCCATGTGAAGGAATTGAGGTCATTTGCACTGACCACCTTCTTCACTTGCATTTAGAGGTCGCACTGTCGAATTGTCCTTTCATATATGTTTTGGTGGATTTTGATTAATTCAAATTGACCCATCTGTTAAAACCTCGGCGTCCCAGCGGGATTCGAGCTTACAACAGTAATGGGATGGCTTTCGTACAGCCAACACTCTAGCCACCTAAGCTACGAGATCCCACCAGAAGACGTGAGTTCAATTGCATTTGGGTCAAATTACCCACTCAGCCTACTGCAAAGTCTGGAATCCACCAACTCTGTTCGGTTGCGTCTAAAGTCTGGTGAGACTGTCAGCCAGTTTACCATCCAAAATTCTCATAGGTATTGAGAGCACTGCCGCAGGAAATCGTTCCCCTTTAGTTGGATTGTATATGAGCATGGCAAAGGTTTCAAAATATTCAAACTTACTACTGAAGTGTTGCTTCGGTATTTCGAAACACTAGATTTCGGCATGCTGTGCATGGAAGACACCTTTGTCATCTTTGACACGGTCAAATTAATTATCGTACATACCACCCTATCTACGTATCCAAAACCGCATGCTTGTCGACAGCATTCGCCTAATGCTTCCGGATGTCGCCAACCTGGAGGCCAAATGATAGCTAAAGTGTACCAAATCCAACCAACAAGCCGCAAACAGCAAATCACCAAACACTGCAGCACAACCAAAGCTAGTAGTGCAAGCTAGCTCTGCGAATTTAAGCTTCTGCAGCAGCCACCTGCCAGGCGAGAGATTAAAGCTCTTTAGAATCAAGAAGTATCCACAAATATTCGTTGAAAGGAATCGAATATCCTGTAGAGTCCAGCCGACCGAGCCGGAGCAAAGTATGCTCTGCGAGAGGTGTCACCGAGGTAATGGCAAGACTCCTCACCCTCTTCAGATCAGGAGCTGTCCCCATGTCAGACTTCACCATTCGCTGGCAGATGATGCGCTAAGGAATCCAGTGCTAAAACGAAAACGACTGCACAGAAAGTAGTTGGACTGCTGATAGAAACGAACAGGCGAGTTCCAGGTAGCAGTTCAGAAGACGAGGATGCGATCACTGGAACAAGAAATGTATTGGCCTGACGGATCGAATTCTCACTCGAATCCATCATCAGAGACAGTCGCAGATAAAGGTGATGGTGACTCAAGGAGTGCAGTATTTGTAGCTGGGGGGACGCGCAGTACTTCAGCACGGCCGACGAATGATCCGAGTGCTCCTTCAAGACTGTCCCTCACGGATTTGCAAATACCGTTTGAGGATTGACCAGGAGATTGCAAGGTGCTGCGAGTTCATGGGGGAGGACGACACAAAACTGCTTCAGTAGAGGCTGACCGAAAAAACCCGTGAACGTAAAGCAACACGCGAAACAATCCCAGAGTGCAAATTTCGGAAGCTGCCGGCTCCAAGAACGACAGACTGGTGCACAACTTGTCGTCAAAGGAGCTGACGGGGGGACACATGCAGGTATTACGACGCTAGGCCTCATTAAACACAGCCGATGCCAAACCTGCCAACATGATCGAAGCAGTGAAATCAATCCTCAGCCAGACGGGAGCGACAGACGAAACGAAGAATCGTATTCGACACCAAGTGTACTCCCTCCTCATGGCTCAAAGGCCGCGCGAGTGCTTTCCAAGGTCGAGCGCGATGCGCTTAAGGAACTCAGGGCCGACAGCGACCTCGTTATCGTGCCTGCGGACAAGGGGCGTTCAACGGTCGTATTGGACAGGACAGACTACAATCGAAAAGCCAAAAGCTTGTTGGAGGATCGTCAGTCCTATGTCTCATGCGAATTGAACCCCATAAAAACGCTGACACGCGAGATTAACGCGACACTGTTTGCAATGGAGAACTCAGGTGCAATATCGCCAATTGACCGACGTATGGCGAGAGCACAAGAAACGGTCCTAGCCCGATTCTACGGTCTCCCAAAAGTACATAAAGTGGATACTCCTCTCCGGCCCATCTTATCACTAAAGGTCACTCCAACATACGGACTGGCAAAGTGGCTTTTCCGACGTCTTAAGTTTCTGACCTCCGATTCAAACACCACAGTCAGCTCGTCAACGCAATTCTTGGAGAAACTTAAAGGAGTAAGTCCCCTGCCAAGGGATGTCATAGTTTACTTTGATGTCACGCCCCTTTTTACTTCTATCCCGCAGGACCTGGCAGTCGAGACCATCGAAATACTCCTACGCGAGAAATACGACGAAGCGGAGAATTGCCTTGGACACGCCCAAATCATGCATCTCCTGAAGTTCTGTCTCAAGACGTACTTCACGTTCGACGAAACAATCTATGAGCAAATGAAGGGAGCGCCAATGGGTTTGCCGATTTCGGGACTCATTGCCGAGGCGGTGCTACAACGGCTGGAGTCGCTGGTTTTCTGATACCACTGACCGAAATTCTGGGCTCGGTATGTGGACGACACTTTCGTCGTCATCGAACGGGATAAGGCGCTGGCATTCAAAGAACATCTCAATGCCGTATTCTCGGACATTCAATTCAGTTCATTCAGTTCATTCTCCGTGTAGTTGTAGTGGCCTGCTGATGAATTACGGAAAACATAATTGCTAATTGACTTTCCGAGACAGCTTTTAGTTGGCAAGTGCGTGCCATGACTGGAGGTATCCAATAAACTCTAATACAGACATTCCCGTTGGAGCACGGCTTCAAGTATTCACGAAAACTATGCGAAGGCTTTCATTGTCTCCGTAAATTTAAAATAGTATATAAGTATATGTAAGATAATAACAAAATAGGCTCCATCTTATAATAGCTTTTAAGAAACCCTCCCGGACAAAAATGACCATATTTTTCAAGGCTAACTAATTTTTCTCACTTTACTAAACAAGTCCGTTTAGGACCAGTAACTTCTCATCACAATGAATGAACATAATTTGATTTCTCAAAGCAGGTAAACGCGAAATAGTGACACTCGACAAGTCGAACATCTGAAATAGCAACTATCGCAGTGGAAAAATTATTTAATTGGTCCGCGGTCTTAAATCTCACGATAATTTTCAAAATGTGACAGCAGAATTTGCTCTGAACACAAACATCAAATATTGTTATTGAAACTCTTTGTTTAATGGTATAGGTCTTAAAATATTGCTCAACCTCTCGGACAGACTACGGAAATTAGGAACCCCTACATATAATCCGCAATGCGCAAAGTCCTAAAAGTCTTACAGTTAAACGCTTTTCTAAATACGCACACGGTTACATTAACAAATAGTTGTTTAGATGGTGTTGTTGTAAATAAACAGTTGCAAGAATCAACGTTTGATCTTTAATCTACAGTGAAAGTTCGACAATTCAAATATGCTTGCAGAAAAAAGCAAAAATATATCATAGTCCAATTGCCAGACTTTTTAAATCAGTGTTCCTATGAAAACCTTTTGAAATATCTAATCCGCATTAAGTGTACATGCGCATAGTAACTAGTAAGCACTCATTATCAGTTGTTGTTAAGTTTCTTTTTGAAAACAGACTCAGCGATTTCAATCTAACTCTGTCATTGTATTTGTGTCATCATTCTGGGCCCAAGGGCTTGTGAGCGCCTGCTTCGCCATAATCAGCAAACTATGGCTCTCGCGTGCTCTGGCAATTCTCTGGCCCTTGGTTCTCTAGCGGTGGATGCGCTCGCGTTCCCGTTGGATATACAGGTCGTGTGCATGACTGCCCAGTCATCCACGTGTTTTCTGTTTTGTTAATAAAGTAAGGGTCAGGCCTATTTCTGGATCAGAGGGTTTGGAGTGGAGCACCACGGTGCGGGTTCGGGCGCGTCGTCCACCTGAGCCCTCCCCACCTCCGGTCTTTTTGACCCTACCTTGACACCGGACCAAGGTGATGGAGGAGGGGCGAGTGTGATAGATGCTTCGAAAGTCTATTCTCACTATGGAATAATTCACACACAGGCCACCATGCCTGCCTAACCTTTTTGTGGAGTACACGATGGACATGGTCGGATGAGACGGCTGAACTATCAGGGTCATCACGTATTCTATCAGTATCCTTGCGCGCAAACCATCAAAATGTGTAAAAACAATTAATACTATTAAAAAGTCGCCATTTCAGACCTGAAAGCGAATTCGGGGTAATCCGATCGATATTATGTCATCAGGCACCGAGAATGTATCGTTTTCTATACTGAAATTGCAGGTAGTATTTAAAAGGCAAACCATTTTTGGAATGCCTTTACTGATCGGGTTAGGAGTCAAGTTCTTCACGTTGTGCTTTAAGTTTCTGCGAAGAGCGTTTCAGGCAACCGCACAACGACTAGCAGTATAAACGGAAGCAAATTATCGGCAAATAGAAGGGGTACTTGGATAACCATCTATGACTTATTAGTGATCGCTAGCCTGCGTGCCATAAGTCAAGCCTTAAAACATAACGGAACCCGTTTGATCTGCAGACCGGTCAGTGCGTGACCGATCTGATGGAATGTTGACCGAAATTCTGAAATGCGTTTTCGATTAGGAAGGATTGCTTAGGTGGCGTTGTAATGTTGCTTATTAAGCGATGCAATCCCATAGTGATTCGGTCTTGCCGGAATGTCGGCTTTTGAATGCACTCCTTTTCGACCTCCCACAGAAGCCACAATCGGTAAAAAATGACTACTTATGTAGCAAATATTTTTCACATTGTTTTTCGATGGCCTCATAAATCCAAATATTGTTTATGGAAACCATGCACAACATATGTTTGCCTTTGCTTGTTTGATAGAAAATAACATTGTTTTTAATGTTTCCACCCGAAGAAAGCGTTTATTTAGGTTCTGAAAAAGTTTGCCGATTCCCCAATAATTTTGGGCCAGATAATCCGCTGCATTAGTATTTACCGATACCATTCTAAAAGTTGCATGCTTTCCCCATAAAAATAATGTATTCACGTATGTCTTTAAGAAGGTTTCATGTTAAGTTTGTAAAATTCTGCAATGGACGGAGACTATGTTTTACTTTTCACGAGGAGCACTAGTAAACGGCGAAGTGTGACGCTGTATGTATGGACATCATACAGTTTTACAACTCTCACAATTAGACACTTTTTAAAAGCCTAAATATGCAATTTTTTCTTGTATCAAGTTTAACAACAATGTTATTTTCTACCAAACAAAGGAAAAAAACACATCTATGTGCATGTTTTTCATAAAAAAATATTCGAACTTATGAGACCATCGAAAAGCAATGTGAAAAATACATGCTATATAATTAGTCATTTTTTACCGAGTATGGCTTCTATAGGAGGTCGAAAAGAAGTACATTCAAAAGCCAACATCCCGGCGAGTCCGAGATCCTATGGGGTTGCGTCGCTCGATAAGCACTATAACAACACTACTTAAGTAATCCTTCTTAATCGAAAACGCATTTCGGAATTTCGGTCAACATTTCATTAGATCGGTCACGCACTGTAGTTCATATTCCAGTTCGCAAACGACAGAAGAAGAGGCCCTAGCTTATTCGGGAAGGTGTTGAACTTGATAATGTTCGATGAACGAAGAGTTAAGGCTCGAACCTCACACGTCTCCAAATACTGGGATTGGGTAAGACTGGCCGACGGCGGCTAATAAATCAGCAATGATTATTTCAGCTTCCGTAGCCTCTATCGGCAATTCCACATTAATAAACGTTTATTGCACACTTACAAGGATCTCAAGCTTCCTGTCTCCATGTATTGTAAATGGAGAATGATCGTTAGAAAGTGACATAACACCGACTAAATTGGTCAACAACCACGTCTTTCAGGCGGAGGCAGGCGTTTTGAACTTACTGAACATGGATAAAAATTCTTAGGTGGAAGCAACGCGTAAAATTACAATTTTTTAAACCGACCTTCATTGTTTAAAACAGCATGCATATGGATGACTGAAGTCCTCTGAAACGACACTGACGAATGCTATTAATTTAAAAGGCAAAAAGCGAGGTTTGGTGATGCAGCCCAACCTAAGTTATACCATACAATTAGCTTCCCAAAAAATTTTGGTGGATGCCAATACGCTGACTTTTCAAATATCATGTATTTGCACCTTTCCTACAACTTTAATCCAGCGGGTTACTGGGCCACGGGAGAGAAGTGCTTAAACGCCAGCCTCGACTACTTCAGGTAGCAGTTCACACACCCTCCCTTGTGCGTGCTTCGAGCCCTGCCTGCGGCCTCATTATCATCCTAATCAAGCGAGTGACCAGGCAGACTTGCCAAGGGAATTGCTCGGACGGTGTGGGACTCCGTCGGTTCCACTACAGTGGCCATGCACTGCGAGTTTTTACGCGGTGCCCGCAGTGGCCTTCCAGTTGTGATCGCGCCCCCAAGTGCCTGTCAGGGAGGGTGAGTGTGTACACTCCACTTTCACTCGCTCCCCTACTCGTGCTTTGAACCCTGCTTGCTCACCCTTCCCCTTCCTAGTCCAGATAGTGGCTAAGTTAGGTATGCCAACTAATATTGTTTTAGTAAGCTAGCCATATGGTTTCAATCAAGTGGGGCTGCAGAACCAAACCTCGCCACTAAATGTCTCCACATGAGTAATGGCCTATGACCTTGTGTTATATTGATGGTAGGGAGTGATCTGTCCAGCTGAATTCGGGATTTCGCTCTGCCAATCAAAACTCGTGAACAGTTGGAAGTCATGGAACAACCGGGCACAGTGAATTATGAGACAAAGGCAGTCAGAGTAGGGATCCATATTTGACGTCCTAAGTGCTGCTTACCTTCCGCCTGTTTGGGAACGGAGGATTCTTCCCCATCTTTTTCTTCGCCTTTCTCCCTTTTCTTCTGGCGTTCTTTCCCTTCCTAATCCAGCGAGGGGCAAATTTAGGTATGTTAACTAGTATTCTTTTAGTAGGCTAACCATATTAAATCTCGAAATCATGCCGAATATGCGTACATTTTTATGGAGGGATCTCAGAACTGACAGTTCTAATATTTGTCGATGCGAAATGCAACCTAAGCGATTTCCCATACTGACAGCATACACACTAATCCACAGCCTTTTTTGGATACTAACTTTTACCTAGTTAATGCGCTGCCATTATCGTGAATAATACAGTATTTGCATATTGTTGACTGCCCGTTGGCAGCTTGCAAGCACTGTGCCGTTATTATGCGTTAAGTGATAAATTTCAGCTAAAAAATCGTATAAAATTTCGGCCGGATGTGGGTTGGTAGCTCCACCTGAAGAAGACAACCCCCAGTCACCTCTAATACGAGACCGATGTTAATATGGGCTTTTACAGGTGGAGCCAGGGAACGCACAGGTGACGAGGTCTGGTAGTTGTGTGCAAAAGAAAAGCTACTGGGAATGCGCGGTTGGAATTTGAATTGTTGGGAAATAGTTGTGTTAACCCCTAACCATAACCCCTAACCCGTAACCCTTAACCCCAACCCCAACAGT